CAGCGACAATAACGAAACCCTCTGTAGGCTGTCTAAAAATTACTGCAAATAACTGATCCCTATCAAATACCGATGATGGAAGTTACAATCTGACGGTTTTCAGAAAATTACAATTTAAAAACTTTCACGTAGATCGATGAAAGCTCTAATTCAACAGTCTTCACAATCAACGTCGGGAGTTACAATCTGACGACTCTCATATTTTCAAGGAGCCAAGACGAAGGTTACAAGATGACGATCTTTGCAACGCTCTAGCAAAAGAGACTACAAATTGACGGTCTCTTCAAATCAAAATACAGATATCTCTCAAACCGTAAGGAATTTGACGAAACGGACGGGAGCAAACCGAACCTTTTGGATCGGTTTGGTCGGCTCCGTCTCGTCGAGATAGTCGATTTTCATATATAATTCGTCCAATTCCGACTTACGGTTTGAAAGTTATGACCTGTTCTTCGCAGCAAGTTATGTTCTGAAATCCGTCTGCAAGATTGGACTTCACCTGAACATTGGACTTCGCCTGAAGCTCGCAAAGCTCACCTGAGGCTCGCCTCTGCGTTCCAGAGTCAAAACGCAGAGTTCATCTCTGCGTCCCAACAACAAAACGCAGAGTTCGTGGCCGTGTTCCAGACTCAAAACGTAGACTTCGTGGCTACGTTCCAGACTCAAAACGCAGAGTTCGTGGTTGCGTTCCAGACTCAAAACACAGAGTATGTGGTCGCGTTCCAGAGTTCGTGGCCGCGTTCCAGACTCAAAACGCAGAGTTCGTGATTGCGTTCCAGACTCAAAACGCAAAGTTCGTGCCTGCGTTTCAGACTCAAAACACAGAGCACATTGCTGCGTTTTCTAGCCGCTAGTACGGAACTAAACTCTGCGTTTTGGGATACTCAACTCTACGTTTCGATCCTAGAACGCAGAGTTTGTGCCAGAATGCGAATTTTTCTTCCTTGGCTTGAAAATCGATTTCGGTTAGATCTTAATTAACTCTTTCATAGAGTTTTAAACTCGTTCTGAGTTTCAAAACTCATTACAGTTATAAACTTGTCTTGCAAGTTCTCCTCAACATCAAGTCAAGAGGAAAGTACCGTGTTCCAACGAGGTGAAGCGTTCGGATCAACAGAAAACAAACTCGACACGAACATCGAGGGAGGCATTCCATTAACACCAAGAAGAACCCAGGTTAAACAAACGGAAGTGTCTCCATCGACCCCTTCTCTCTTTTGTAAATAGGAAAACCGATCGAGAAGATTGTAATTTCTTTTTCTAAGCCTGTTAGAGAAAGACTGCATTGAGAGAATTGTAATTAATTCTTTTTCTAAGTCTGTAAGGGAGAATAATACAAATTCAATTCTTCATTTTTCTTCTTTATATTTTCCCACCAAACAAAAGATAGCGACTCTGCTGGGGACTAGCTTCACTGATGAAGAAGTGGCGGCGCAATCCGACGTCAACCTCGCTTGAACAATGGTTGAAACTCTCGTTGTGGAGTTTGATCAAGCTAAGTATGAGGAGTCACTCTCCTCCGGACCTCTTAGCCCCAAGGCTATCGCAAGATCCGCAAAGTCTCCAAGAAGACTAAAGCTCCAACCGCTGCCGAACCACCAAATGAAGTCCTCTCCTTTGGACCAAATCTCTTAGACGGCCTCTCCTCTGAAGGAGTAGGCTCAGTCGCAACCAAACTCGTTAATCGAGTTGAAGGTTCCACACCCGCACCAAAATAACGGTTATCGGGTCACAAAAGGCTCATTGTGGTGACAAACTCGATCAACACAAATAGAGACGCTGCAAAAGCCTTAAAACAGGCTAGGAAGAATGCTGCTCGACGAAAGAGGAGATCCCGGTGACGAGCACAATTCTGAGAGAGCCGATCCTCCAATCAACGCGAGCTATGCGTTTGTGAGCCTCAGCAAGAGCTCTACGTTTCTGCTCCAGAACGCAAGCCTTACGTTGATGAGCCCAGATACAAGCCCCGTGTGATCCAACTAAAACGCAACCCTCAAGGGAGCGTTCCAAACTCAAAACGCAGTCCTAAGGGATGCGTTCCAACACCAAAATGCAGTCATCTGGGATGCGTTTCCCAAACAAAACACAACTCTTAAGAGTGCGTTCCAGAACCAAAACACAGGTCTCCAGACCGCGTTAATCAGCCTGAACGCAATTCTCAAGGACGCGTTCCAACACCAAAACGTAGTCCTCGGGACACGTTTCCCAAACAGAACGCAACTCTCATGAGTGCGTTCCAGAACCAAAACGCAGGTCTCCAGACCGCGTTAATCAGCCCGAACGTAGTTCTCAGGAGAGCGTTTCAGAATCCAAACGCATGTCTCAGGACTACATTGACTAGCCAGAATGCAGCCCGCAGAGGCGCGTTTCACCAGCAAAACGCAGACCTTAGTCTTGCGTTCTTCAATCCAAACACGACCCTCGTGTTCCTTGTTTAGGACATGATGTGATTCGTCGTGTCAGAAAAGACCAACATGGATTTAAGATTTATGTTCATCAACAACCAGTCCCGTCTACTGATGGACAGGGGGTTTCAGCTTCAACCTCACGTTCAGTGAGAAATGCTTTCCAAGTCGACGATTTAAGAGAACTTTTATCAAGAGAAAAACGGGTGCAACAAGCCACTCATTCATGTCAATGTGAGCGGCTTATTTTTACAGTCCTATCAGAATATCAATGTTGTGCTTTTGTGCCTAGGCGATCAGTGTTCGACCGATTGACGAGCGTTGCTCGACCAAGCAAGCGACAGCGTCATTACAAGAAAAAGTCTTCAGAGACCGAGTATCCTGGAGTCACTATCAATGTGATTGGTAGAGGGAAGTCGCAGTCCCTAGTTCTGATGAGTCAGAGACGGATCGTTCTCGAAGCGTAAGAGAAATTGCTAACGAGTTTGAAGGAATCTACCAACGTACTCGGACGCAAATAGGAGCCATTCCCCCTGTCAACTATTGGAGGTTAGCTAGAGGAACCAATTCCGATGACGAACGTTCAGCCATCACGGAGTCTCAATCATCAAGTTCTTTCGTTGGATATGGGAGCTTTGCTCACATGGCAGAAAATTCTGAAGATCTCTCAAAGAGGGTTGATGAGCAGAAGGCCATGCTCAAAGCACAACAGGAGGCCATCAATGAACTATGGATCCTGATGACTCAATATGTCGTAGACAGGGCCAAATCTCAGAAGACAAATTCGCCGCCAAAGCAAGAATCTTGCCGAAGAGGAAGAACGTCTTTATCCCGACCTCACACAAGCAAAGGGAAGGGGAAAATGGTTGGTGGTGCTGCTTCTGACCAAGAATCCCATAACCTGGAATCTTCCTCTGATGAAGGAAGAGAGACTGAGAACGAGTAGAATCTCCAGTCTGCCAAAATAGAAGAATTGAAAGTCTGTCTTAATGTCATTGCTAACAGAAGCGAGCTCCAAGACGAGGGAGTTGCTAGGCCCTATCCTGTCGAATGGGATGCATCCCCTTATCCTCCAAAGTTTGAGGTCCCGACGCTACAAACTTTTGATGGCACCGGATCACCGAATCAACATATCTATAATTTTAAGTCACAAACTGGGAATATGATATCAAAAGACGTTATACTGGCTCGATTGTTCATTGGCACCCTCAAGGGAGTTGCCTTTGAATGGTTCAAGAAACTGCCTGCCGGATGTATCCAAAAGTGGGCGAGACTCTTCCTGTCAAGATTCTTTGAAGAGGATACAGAAGTCTCCATCCATACCCTTCTCGCCACTAAGAAGAAGAAGAGGGAGCCCATCAAAGCCTTCGTCAAGAGGTTCCGAAGCATGGCTCTTCGATGTTCGTTAGGTATGACACAGTCTACCTTAGTGGATACTTGTCGACACAACTTACAGACCAACCTTCTAGCACAAATGAGGGTTGCAGAATACCGTTCCTGGAGACAACTAATCTCTCAAGGCGAACAGACTCAAAAAATTATTATCAGGGTCAAAACCAAAGAACAAAGTAAGCAGAATCAATCTGAGCAATAGGATCAAGCCCAATCTTCTCAATCAGAATGGGAATATACTACGGTTACTGAAGCCAATCCTCTTCAAGCCAATCATCTTCAATAGGATGGCAGGTCTATTAGCTTTTTTGTTTTGATGATGTTTTACAAACATTCCCTAATATTGTTTGTCTAGTGTTTGTGTTTTTTTTATTAAGTATTCTAGACAAACAATGATGTTGGAGGTTGGATGGACTAGAGCTTTCACAATCATATCCGTTGAAGGTTGGATGGAATCGAGCATTCACAATCATACCCATTGGAGGATGGAAGGAATAGTGGGGTGAAAC